AGCCCCACAGGACCCCATAAACCCCATCCCCACCCCACGGGACCCCCACACACCCCATCCCATTCCCCTGAGACCCCCCACAACCCTGTCCTTCCCCTAGGGACCCCCCACACTGCATCCCAACCCCCTGGGACCCACACATACCCCGTCCTAGCCCCATGGGACCCCCCACAACCCAGCCCAGTCCACTGGGACCCCCACACACCCCATCCCAGCCCCATGGGACCCACACACACCCCATCTCAGCCCCATGGGACCCACATACACCCCATCACAGCCCCATAGGATCTCCCACACCCGGTCCCAGACCCTAGGGACCCCCATAAACCCCATCCCAGCCCCATGGGACCCCCATATATCGAGTCCTAGGCCCCTGGGACCCCCATACGCCCCATCCCAGCCCCATGGGACCCCCACACACCCCATCTCAGCCCCATGGGACCCACATACACCCCATCACAGCCCCATAGGATCCCCCACACCCGGTCCCAGACCCTAGGGACCCCCATAAACCCCATCCCAGCCCCATGGGACCCCCACACACCCCATCTCAGCCCCATGGGACCCCCACACACCCCATCTCAGCCCCATGGGACCCCCACACACCCCATCTCAGCCCCATGGGACCCCCACACACCCCATCTCAGCCCCATGGGACCCCCACACACCCCATCTCAGCCCCATGGGACCCCCACACACCCCATCTCAGCCCCATGGGACCCCCACACACCCCATCTCAGCCCCATGGGACCCCCACACACCCCATCTCAGCCCCATGGGACCCCCACACACCCCATCTCAGCCCCATGGGACCCCCACACACCCCATCTCAGCCCCATGGGACCCCCACACACCCCATCTCAGCCCCATGGGACCCCCACACACCCCATCTCAGCCCCATGGGACCCCCACACACCCCATCTCAGCCCCATGGGACCCCCACACACCCCATCTCAGCCCCATGGGACCCCCACACACCCCATCTCAGCCCCATGGGACCCCCACACACCCCATCTCAGCCCCATGGGACCCCCACACACCCCATCTCAGCCCCATGGGACCCCCACACACCCCATCTCAGCCCCATGGGACCCCCACACACCCCATCTCAGCCCCATGGGACCCCCACACACCCCATCTCAGCCCCATGGGACCCCCACACACCCCATCTCAGCCCCATGGGACCCCCACACACCCCATCTCAGCCCCATGGGACCCCCACACACCCCATCTCAGCCCCATGGGACCCCCACACACCCCATCTCAGCCCCATGGGACCCCCACACACCCCATCTCAGCCCCATGGGACCCCCACACACCCCATCTCAGCCCCATGGGACCCCCACACACCCCATCTCAGCCCCATGGGACCCCCACACACCCCATCTCAGCCCCATGGGACCCCCACACACCCCATCTCAGCCCCATGGGACCCCCACACACCCCATCTCAGCCCCATGGGACCCCCACACACCCCATCTCAGCCCCATGGGACCCCCACACACCCCATCTCAGCCCCATGGGACCCCCACACACCCCATCTCAGCCCCATGGGACCCCCACACACCCCATCTCAGCCCCATGGGACCCCCACACACCCCATCTCAGCCCCATGGGACCCCCACACACCCCATCTCAGCCCCATGGGACCCCCACACACCCCATCTCAGCCCCATGGGACCCCCACACACCCCATCTCAGCCCCATGGGACCCCCACACACCCCATCTCAGCCCCATGGGACCCCCACACACCCCATCTCAGCCCCATGGGACCCCCACACACCCCATCTCAGCCCCATGGGACCCCCACACACCCCATCTCAGCCCCATGGGACCCCCACACACCCCATCTCAGCCCCATGGGACCCCCACACACCCCATCTCAGCCCCATGGGACCCCCACACACCCCATCTCAGCCCCATGGGACCCCCACACACCCCATCTCAGCCCCATGGGACCCCCACACACCCCATCTCAGCCCCATGGGACCCCCACACACCCCATCTCAGCCCCATGGGACCCCCACACACCCCATCTCAGCCCCATGGGACCCCCACACACCCCATCTCAGCCCCATGGGACCCCCACACACCCCATCTCAGCCCCATGGGACCCCCACACACCCCATCTCAGCCCCATGGGACCCCCACACACCCCATCTCAGCCCCATGGGACCCCCACACACCCCATCTCAGCCCCATGGGACCCCCACACACCCCATCTCAGCCCCATGGGACCCCCACACACCCCATCTCAGCCCCATGGGACCCCCACACACCCCATCTCAGCCCCATGGGACCCCCACACACCCCATCTCAGCCCCATGGGACCCACATACACCCCATCACAGCCCCATAGGATCTCCCACACCCGGTCCCAGACCCTAGGAACCCCCATAAACCCCATCCCAGCCCCATGGGACCCCCATATATCGAGTCCTAGGCCCCTGGGACCCCCATACGCCCCATCCCAGCCCCATGGGACCCACACACACCCCATCTCAGCCCCATGGGACCCACATACACCCCATCACAGCCCCATAGGATCCCCCACACCCGGTCCCAGACCCTAGGGACCCCCATAAACCCCATCCCAGCCCCATGGGACCCCCATATATCGAGTCCTAGGCCCCTGGGACCCCCATACGCCCCATCCCAGCCCCATGGGACCCACACACACCCCATCTCAGCCCCATGGGACCCACATACACCCCATCACAGCCCCATAGGATCCCCCACACCCGGTCCCAGACCCTAGGGACCCCCATAAACCCCATCCCAGCCCCATGGGACCCCCATATATCGAGTCCTAGGCCCCTGGGACCCCCATACGCCCCATCCCAGCCCCATGGGACCCACACACACCCCATCTCAGCCCCATGGGACCCACATACACCCCATCACAGCCCCATAGGATCCCCCACACCCGGTCCCAGACCCTAGGGACCCCCATAAACCCCATCCCAGCCCCATGGGACCCCCATATATCGAGTCCTAGGCCCCTGGGACCCCCATACGCCCCATCCCAGCCCCATGGGACCCACACACACCCCATCTCAGCCCCATGGGACCCACATACACCCCATCACAGCCCCATAGGATCCCCCACACCCGGTCCCAGACCCTAGGGACCCCCATAAACCCCATCCCAGCCCCATGGGACCCCCATATATCGAGTCCTAGGCCCCTGGGACCCCCATACGCCCCATCCCAGCCCCATGGGACCCACACACACCCCATCTCAGCCCCATGGGACCCACATACACCCCATCACAGCCCCATAGGATCCCCCACACCCGGTCCCAGACCCTAGGGACCCCCATAAACCCCATCCCAGCCCCATGGGACCCCCATATATCGAGTCCTAGGCCCCTGGGACCCCCATACGCCCCATCCCAGCCCCATGGGACCCACACACACCCCATCTCAGCCCCATGGGACCCACATACACCCCATCACAGCCCCATAGGATCCCCCACACCCGGTCCCAGACCCTAGGGACCCCCATAAACCCCATCCCAGCCCCATGGGACCCCCATATATCGAGTCCTAGGCCCCTGGGACCCCCATACGCCCCATCCCAGCCCCATGGGACCCACACACACCCCATCTCAGCCCCATGGGACCCACATACACCCCATCACAGCCCCATAGGATCCCCCACACCCGGTCCCAGACCCTAGGGACCCCCATAAACCCCATCCCAGCCCCATGGGACCCCCATATATCGAGTCCTAGGCCCCTGGGACCCCCATACGCCCCATCCCAGCCCCATGGGACCCACACACACCCCATCTCAGCCCCATGGGACCCACATACACCCCATCACAGCCCCATAGGATCCCCCACACCCGGTCCCAGACCCTAGGGACCCCCATAAACCCCATCCCAGCCCCATGGGACCCCCATATATCGAGTCCTAGGCCCCTGGGACCCCCATACGCCCCATCCCAGCCCCATGGGACCCACACACACCCCATCTCAGCCCCATGGGACCCACATACACCCCATCACAGCCCCATAGGATCCCCCACACCCGGTCCCAGACCCTAGGGACCCCCATAAACCCCATCCCAGCCCCATGGGACCCCCATATATCGAGTCCTAGGCCCCTGGGACCCCCATACGCCCCATCCCAGCCCCATGGGACCCACACACACCCCATCTCAGCCCCATGGGACCCACATACACCCCATCACAGCCCCATAGGATCCCCCACACCCG